CACTGAGGGTTGCGATCCGTTGCCGGACACGGAAAAAAGACAAAAAAAAAAAAAAAAAGAGTGTCTATCTTGAAGAACATTTGCCTAGTAAAATGAACTAACATGGGTCAAAAATTAAGCCAGGTTGAAGATGGATCTTTGTAGAATTTTTTAAAACAAATATTAAGAAACTGACAGGTCTTTCCAAAAAGTCAGTTAAGTAGACTAAGTCTTTTTAAGTATCGAGAAGTCTTTGACTTCCACCTAAATTTTAATAAACTAAAACTTCAGAGTTTTCCCACCTAGCTTCATTAGCCTCTGAAGGGTTAGACTTATTAAAGACCTTAAAAATCATATAAAAATTTGAGCTGGAGGTCTCTAGTTCTATTGACATCACTAATTCCCTCGCCGTGACTCTACTCAGAGTACAGCTGCCACCCTCCAAGACTTTATAGCTTCCAGATGACCAATTTTGTGGAAATCTCCCACCCCCTCACACATATACTCCTCCCATCCCCTAAAGGCAGCATTTCATTGCTGAAAAAAGGAGTGTGTAGAAATATGTTTAATGGTTGTAGAGTCGGCTTTATAGGAAAGGACGCCTTGCTGAAGCAGATAAAGGTGGGAATATCTGTTTCTGAGAATTAGGGACAATCTGTTGTCATTTTGAAATATGTAAGTACAAATGTGTGGGTGATACCATGAGAAAAATTAAAAGCATAAATGCATAATATAGTAAACACTAGCCTTTTAACCTTACTGGTCTTGCATCGTAAATTCAAAATCAGACTTTAAAAACTTGTTAAGAAAATCGAGCCATTCCTACAAAATAAGTGAAAGTAAGTCAGTCCCTGTTATGCTCATTTTTTTGCATTTGTTGGCATATCTGTCCTAGTGTATAGAAAAGGAAAGCAGTTGGTGAATAGAAATATGTATGTATATGAAACTGACTGATTTATTCTTACGTCATGTAGATGTTTGGATAGGGAGTGAATGTTAGTTTGATCACTTAGCGTATGGTCTCTGCAACATATGCATAGAGTTGTAATCCAATCTTCCGCTGTTTGAGAAGAGAGTTAAAGTTTTGGTGAGCCATTGATTCCAAAAAATCAATTAAGAATGTCCTATAGTCTGGATATAGCAACAATCAGACAGCTTTAATTCAAAGAACATGTTTAGGTTACCTTTTAAACCTGGAAAAGAGGAGTGTCCATACTGAGGTTGTACTGTGAGGTAACTGCTTTACATTTGCACCCAATTTCGCCTACCACCCGTTCCCCCCCACCCACACCCCCTGCAACAATACTGTGCTGAAGGCTTTATTCCATTTTAGAGATGAAGAAATTAAAGTTTAGAGATAGTTGGATAACTTCCCCCACATTAGTTGCCATGATATGGCTGAGCTGGGATAAACTGAAGTCTGTCCCATTCAGCTGCATTTTTCTTTGCTTCCCCTGCTCCTAAGTGTTATGTCAGCTTACTCATGCCCCCATTTCCAGTTCTCATATTAAACTCTGCTTCTCTCTGGCTTTTGGCTCTGTGTTGGGGAGAGGGTGGAGTGGGGTGGCAGGGAAGGAAATCACTTGCAGTTTGAAAACTACCCTAGGTGTTTTAGCCCCCAATTTGAGGACCTCAGGGGAAGGATGCCTTTAGAGGCCCTCCCTGAGTTTGCTTCTCAAGCCTCATGTCCATGCAGCCCCTCCACCTCCACAAAACTCCGCATCTTTGTCACTTCAGCCGTGCGATCCTGCTGGTCTCCTTCCCTCTATGTCTCCTTCATGCTCTGGCACTCACCTCTCTTCACTGAACCTTTCAGAGGATTCCATTTTCTAGTTTTCAGAAAACTAATTTATCTTGTGTTTCTTGTTTTTGTTTTTAACTTAGTTGAGTAATGAGCTTCATATAAGGTTGTGTTTCCTCTCCAGTAGTGCTTTCATTTTAAGATGTCATAGGAAGACAGAAAGATTGTTTTGGTATGGGATCAAAAAACAATGCACAGCTTAAGATAATGATACCAGAAGATTATTTACTCGTAGTAATAGTAAACTTACAAAATAACACAGAGTGAATGGATCTTATTGTTTACTTTATAGGGTCCAAGAAAGTCCATGGAACCACTTGAAAATGTTTTTCTCAGCAGTCATTCCAGTAGCATACTTAACTATAATTTCAAGTGATTTTAGAATAGTGAAAGGATTGTATGAAATAAGAAAAAAACCAAAGGTGTTAATGTGTAATAAATAAGCAATCAGTCAGAATTATTTAGGCAAAAACAGAAACACTGTTATTTATGCAGTTTATACACATGATAAATTCCTCTGCACACAACTGCATAACAAGTATTGGCTCTTACCCTGTTAGCTAGTCTCAAGGTACCTAGCCAGAGTCTGAAATTAGATGAAAAGACCCCGCACAAGGATTATAGTTTTAGATTCTTTCTAAATAAATTGCTACATCACTAAATATGGTATGTTAGGACCTATGGGGGGAAGAACCTTGTTGTGGCTGTTGTTTTTGAAGATACATACTTTCCAAGTGACAACATAGCATGCCTGGTTACTCCCGGAGGACTGTGGACTTGAGCCTGGGAGCCCGTAAAGACTGGGCTGTTACTTGACAGCTAACTTGATTCACAAGTACCTAAGTGCTTTTTAAATTGGCACTTAAGTACTCTCATGATGAAGTCTTAGCAAGTTATTGTCAACACCCAATTCAGGTGTACAGATAAGCCACTCCCGACTGTAAGTCTGTAACTGACTTGTATTCTCATATTTTGCTTTGCAGGCTTTTCTCTACATCTCCTCTTATTCATCAATCTCATTATTTTTATTTTCTGACCCTTGTAAAGAGCTAGACTGGAAATGTGTGGAATAGCATATAAAGTTTGCAAGTTAAGTGCACACATGGAAGACATGGTCTTACCTCTTTAAAAACTAAAAAAAAGGAGGGGACAGCAGAATTAGGTCTTCGTCTGCATCCAGTGCATTTGCATCATCTTATTTATAACCCTTAAGGGCAGTAGCTAACATTTCTTGCACACTTTCTACATGCAAGGCCTGAGTGCTTTCAGGGGATCAGCTCATTTGATCCTCACAACTTCCTTCCAGTGTGGGTACTGCCATCCCAGTGTACAATCACAGAACCCAAGGTTTAGAGGTCATGTAACTTGACCAAGTCATATAGCTCGTAAGTGACAGTGCAGCCTAGACTCTGGACCCTGCATGTATACTGCCTCTGAGACAGGGCACTGCACTCCTGAGGCTAGGTCCCCCTGTAAACAAGGAGTTTACCGTATTCTTTTAAATTCCTAAA